AGGGTCCAGCAAATGTAATACCTATAGGTACATAAAGCTAAAAAGAAGGTCTTCCAGTCCTCTAAATTTACCCGCCTTTTACAACGCAAGTTGCGACAAATTGCTGAATGTTGCTCGTATGGTTACCAGACGTCCCGCTTTATGCGTAATTGCTACGCCTTTTAATTTGCTGTCACGCGTCACGACAAAGGGGGCGTCCATTAATTACATGAGGTATTTTTGAGGATGTTTGACCTTCCCTCCCCCCTGGTGAGATTTCGTAAATTTTTCTTAACTCCCCTCCCCCCTCCCCTAATCTCACGTGAGATTTTTTAAAATTTTTGTTTTGGGTGTAAAAGCGCAGGATTATTAAAAAAACAAAAACACAATATGTTCTATTACTTTTATTTAAGACTAGCAAAGACTAGTAGTATCTAGAAGTTTCTAGAAACATTATTCTTTACTTTAAGGGTGACCACCTGTCCTTTTTTGAAAAGGACATTCCTTTTTTCAAACAAATTGTCCTTGTGACCTTTTAAACCTTAAAATGTCCATTTTAAAAACTATATTTTAATATTTTTCAAGATTAACTTATTCGCAACAGCACCGGCTTGGCCTACACGCTCCCAGAAATGGAACAGAGTCCAGTTCTGTTTTGTCGACAGCACTTCATCATTTTAAGTGTGTGTAGCTGTCGAAAAAGTTTGGTTATGTATGTTGAATTTTTCAAACAAACCAAACAAATTTTTGCAGCTATAACCAGCGTTTAAATAATATATAATAATATTTTGGTTATTTTGCGGTTTTAATTTTATTAGTTGAGGTGATGCAGATTTCACACTGGTAGAGTTTGAAAATGAAAACCAAATTTCAGGACATTAAAAAAATAGGAAATTGTTTTAAACAGCTTTAAAAATACTCGAAATGTGTTTTCGGCAATTTCTTTTTTATTAAGTGTAGGTACCTGCTAGTTCACCATTTTCTGAGCGAATTTTGTCTGTGAAGGCTACAAAATGGCGCGACGAAGGAAATCGCTGCTCCACAGAACTAATTCGCTCAGAGCTTTTAATGTATCTTAATTTTTAAGATAATTGTCAAGAGTTTTACGACTTCATAAAAAACAACAAGGCTGCTTTGGATTCTGAAAAATCAAACAGAAAGTATTATTTTAAATTCAATAATCCCTAGGTCAGAGGTCGGCAAACCGCGGCTCGCGAGCCGCATGCGGCTCTTTGGCTCCTTGAGTGTGGCTCTTCCACACACTACAACGTACCGGCTCTCAAATACAGTACGACTGAAACTTCGTGATGACTGCTTATCTTATTTCTATTTTTTCACACTTAGTTGGTCTTTATCTTAAGTCGAGTACTCTGAAGCGACTTTATTAACAAAACATTTTCTGAAAGATAAAGTATCAACGTGTATCGTACAATATATTCCTCCTGAGCGCATATCCTCGCAGGAAAGACTAGAATTGTAGTTAAAATTTGCACACCTGTGTTTATCACTTTCCTTTTGCCTCTGTTCATAGGCTTTGCCTTCCCTTCAAGGTTCTATTATGAATTACTTTCCAAGCGTGTTGTGATTCTGAAATTGACATTATCTATTTCAAAACAACACTTTCAAATATCGATGGCCTAATTCTAACAAGTCGTAACCCACAATTTTTACAAATTTACGTTTTTACGTTTACCGAATAGAAAAAGATGAACACTATCGGTTACTAAAACCTCTTGTCCCAAATAAAATTATTTCTAGTGGATTCCCGCGATTTCTAACAAGTCCTAATCCACACGAAACATGTGCCAGGATTGAGTTTTTTAACTCCGAAGGCGGAAATCACTAAAGTCAAAACGTAACTGTATTTCGAAAATCACCTAACAAATGTTTATGTAATTTTGGTGATTTCGCTGAAAAATCCCCCATAATTTTATATAAAGACTTTTTTTAAAGTTCTCCCTTGTCTTCTGATCCACAAGCTACTGCATTTACATACTGAGCGACGAATTAATTTCGAAGAGAATTCGGTGATTATTTCGACCATGTTTTCGGTTATTTCGAGTGAAAACGTACCAGTATTTCGGGAGTGATTGACTCCTCGACAGAGTCAAAATAAAAACTTTTTAAAATACATTGTATTTACCGATAAGTCAACTTTTTCATTGCACAATCAACAATCCATAGACATTGTGTTCGAAAAAATTAACATTTAAGTATTCCGACATGCACACATTATCCTCAGAAATTAAATGGTTGCACTGGTATTTCAAGGGACCACTTTATTGGCCCTTTTTCATTGATGGTAAACTTATGGTGACAAAAATTAAGATTGAATTCAAAATCAAGTTATTTTTTTTCAAGATACCCACGATACTAAATCGGAACTTCCTATGAGCTCGCACGCTCGCAGGTCGCAGGAGAGGTGGTAGTCGTATACAAAATATAGAAATAGATGTTCACTCGCAGTGCCTATAACCTATAGCTCGTATAATTTTTTCCTAATCTGTATAAAGAGAATGAACCATAGGAGATAGACGAAACAAGTTTATAAGACGAGTGTGGATGGGAGAGTTAGAAAGGGTCGACCTCAGTGAACGAACTTCAATCAGATTGAGGACGCTTTTAGCAAAGGCCAGCTTAACCGTATACCCTAATTAAGTTAACAAAAATGTACCTATCTGTATAGTTTAACTTTAAAAAAAATTTGGCTCTCAAAAGAATTTTCATTAGCTTTTTACTGTTGCTATTTGGCTCTGTTGACTAATGAGTTTGCCGACCACTGCCTTAAGCCTTGGTTTCTTGTCGCGAAGAGTCGGTTGATATCTGTTGAGTTTGATATCAGCGGAATCGTCGGCGTGTGCGGAGACTATATAGTTATTAATTTTAAAACAATGAGTGACAAATTCACACATACAGATGACATCATAACTTTATTTTTAGGTTTCTTGGAAATTATGTCCTTTATAAAACTCAACACGAATTCAAAAAGATCTGTAGAAAGTCTAAAATACTCCCTAAATTTGGTTTCATTTCCAAAAAGCCTCCGCTGCACAGTGATATTAAAGGCACCTTCTGCATCGCGACAGAAAAACAACTCATTCACTGGCTTATTGGAAACTTTGACGGTTGCAATTGCCAGTTCCTCTTGTTCTTCCTCTTCCAACAATAATAACAACGCAAACAATTTATTTGCAACCATTTTAGTACCTTTCGTTTACATTCATAATACATAAACAGCACGTACAGACATAGAGAAAGTATCATTTTCTATATTTTTTAACAAACCACCTCGGGCGAAAATTGCTGTCCTCAGCGGTCGATGGACTGTCCGCTCACCGCGACGGAGTGTTCAAAGAAACCAAGGCTTTAGGTAAACCTAAGAGTATTTTTTAGTTTTTAATTTTTTTTAGTTATGTTATGTTTTTTTATTCATTTATGATGTAACTACCTAATTACGATAGTTCAATAGTAAGTTATTAAAAAGTGGGAAAACTACCTGCGCTTCATTTTTAGTGTTTTACCGTGATACGCTGCGCGACCGCTTTAAGCCTTGGTTTCTTTGAACACTCCGTCGCGGAGAGCGGACAGTCCGTCGACCGCTGAGGACTGCGATTTTCGCCCGAGGTGGTTTGTTAAAAAATATAGAAAATGAGACTTTCTCTATGTCTGTACGTGATGTCTATGTATTATGAATGTAAACGAAAGGTACTAAAATGGATGCAAATAAATTGTTTGCGTTGTTATTATTGTTGGAAGAGGAAGAACAAGAGGAACTGGCAATTGTAACCGTCAAAGTTTCCAATAAGCCAGTGAATGAGTTGTTTTTCTGTCGCGATACAGAAGATGCCTTTAATATCACTGTGCAGCGGCGGCTTTTTGGAAATGAAACCAAATTTAGGGAGTATTTTAGACTTTCTACACAGATCTTTTTGAATTCGTGTTGAGTTTTATAAAGGACATAATTTCCAAGAAACCTAAAAATAAAGTCATGATGTCATCTGTATGTGTGAATTTGTCACTCATTGTTTTAAAATTAATAACAATATAGTCTCCACACACGCCGACGATTCCGCTGATATCAAACTCAACCGATATCAACCGACTCTTCGCGACAAATCAGCGGCATGACGCCGTCCTGTTCAGCTAAACGGATTCAAGAAAACCATTCCCATTTAAATACTCTGGTTGGATAAAATCGTCAAAACGCGACGGTTGACGGACTGTCCGCTCACCGCGACGAAGTGTTCAAAGAAACCAAGGCTTTACTCGCACTCATTAAGTCAGTCCTATCTTAAGATTTTTTTGAAATGTCCTTTTTTCACTTAAGTGGCAACCCTCTACTTTAATTTAACTTTACTTTCATGCAATTTTAGATACACCGTTTTCTACTAGAAAAAATTACGTCAGCTTTACAAAAACCCCCCTCTCCCCCAAGTAAGATTTGGAAAGATTTAGTTTTATCCCCTCCCCCCCCTTGAAAACCACACGTAATTAATGGACGCCCCAAAATAAGTACCAAAATGCCACGCTTTTTATCCAATGTCGCGCTTTTTACTCAAAATAATGCTACTACGCGTTTTACTCAAAATGTTAGGCATTTTACTCAAATGCCACCGCTTTTTAAATCCAAACTTATAATGAATTTTGAAATTTTTTGTTTTTGATCTCCCTATAAAAAAAACCTGTTTTATAAAAATACCTTTTATTTCGTAAATCTGGCAATCCTATGCTCCAGTGTGGACATGGTTTTATGCACGGTTGTTTTAGATTCACAAATTTGTACATTTTTTGTTTTCTCCTGAAAAAAATTATGTTCTTGCTCATGTATAAATTTTTACATCTACTGCCATCTGACTTGTATTAGTTAAACTAACGTTGGTGAATTACAGATTACAGCATAGGATTGCAGTTTTACTCTAAAGGTTGAGTTACATATTGTCGCTGTATTTAGATTTTACATTTTAAAATAAACAATGTAAAACAATTAAAGGTGGAAGGATTTTTATTGATCAATTATATATGTAAATTTGTTTAATTTAAAACATTATTTTACAGTAAAATGCCGAAAGTTCTTCGAACAATATTTAAAATAAATGTGTTTTGAAGTGACATTCGCTAACGCGTAATCGCTAAAGGAGTTGTGGCATTGTAATTAAACCACGCCTACTACTGCCGTAATTTGCTAAAATAATAATGATTAACAAAACACTTTGAGGTCAATTAAACCGCTGGAAAAAGATTAAAGTAATATTACAATGAAAAAATCTTATTTATAGCATCAGTAATGCTCTGCATATTTTTATCGAATTGACAGATCCATAACATTATTTGATTAGTGAAGTATAAGAACACCAAGACATAAGACGTGAAGTGACAGCACTGACTGCCAGAACTGAGCGAGACGACCGCACCTATCATTGTGCTTCGATTTTGTGAATAATCGTTATGAAAAACATTTCATATTATATATTTTGGTAAGTACTTATCTATAAATATCATTTTATTATTGTTTATCTAATCTCCAAAATTTAGCCTTAGTAAAGCGTGGAAGTGTTCTATTTATTTATATCTAGTGTTGACACCTAGCAGTTCATTCATTTGCTCCAATTTTAACTGTTTTTTTCTTACATTTTCTAAAAATAAGTTAAATTGCCTATTTTAAAGGTTGAAATAGGTCTTTATTGGATTGCCTACTCTAATATCATGATTGTGTGTTGGATTTTAATATTAAGTAGGGTATTTAAACAAAATGATTCATAACCAAGTACTTTAGAATGCTTAATTGAACTGGTCAGTTTACCAATAATTTATTTTTTTATAAATAAATGAATCTAAAATATACGTTATTAATTATTTACTACACATCCCGTAATTCTTAGTTTTTATTGTAATTTATTAAATTGTTATAAGGTTACATTATAATGATTAATGTTGACATTTAAGAAGAAAGAATGAAGTCATATTTATTTTGATGTTCTTGTTGCTTGTGGCTATTATTCAACCATCTATGTACATCCTTCCTGTTAATGTTTACTACCCTGCTTAAACATATATTAATAAGTTATTTCTGTATGTTTATACAGGTTGTCCCAAAATGAATATGAGTCACTTTTAACAGTAGTGGGTTGAACAATCAATGAATATTTAAAAAGAAGGTAAACTATTAATTAACATATTTATATGATATAACCTATACATCACTGTTCATTTAAGTAAGATGATTTCATTCAAATATTTTTTAGGAGTATATTTGACCATTAAAAAAATATTTCTAAACAAAGTTTAAACCCATAAGTAGGTACTTCCTTTTAGAATGGTTTTCCTTTTTCTTGCTCCTAAAGAAAATGTGGTTATATAGGTATTTGTGCCTGACAGTTCAAAATCAATTGCTAGTGTTGGTTAGTGAAAAATTTATTTGTTTAGTTCTTAAATGTGTTTCAGAAAGATATTAGATGGTTCTCAATTGTGATAATTTGTGAACAAAAAATAGCCATCTATGAAGGAAAACCCTGAGTAATGTGTTCCTTAATGACTATTTTTTTGCATTTATCATATAGTACTTTTTTACCTTAAAACATAGAATGTAATTTACTTCAATTAAAATGCTTAACCTCTCAACCATTTTTATGTGGTTAAATAGGTACCTATAACAAAAATTATAGAATAGAACTTGAAGACTGAAAATGACCTCATTCAAGAAGATTGACACCCTTATTAATTTACAAAAATTATACTTTTACAAGACAAACCTTAGTTATGTCATTAGAGTATTTAGGATATATAATTTATTGAAATATGTAAAAGATAAAGACAAGTTGAGAGGTGAGATGAACACTGAATTATCTGTGTTGATAAAAAATATCTACATATTTTTCAAAATTAATTAATTACAACTATGTATAAATAAATTATTTGTTATTATTCCTAAATAATTAGTTTATTAATAAATTTCTTTGGTTAATAATGGTATTTACTATATACAGGGTCGTTCAATGAACACTTGGTTGTTTTGGGTGTTAATAATTTAGATATAAAGAAATGCTTGAAGCTTGGATAGGTCTTTATCTTTGTCAGTTATCAGATTTTAAACAACTTTTAAAAAATTCCGTCCGATGTCATGTTTTTTTTTTTTCGCATGAAATCAAAAACGGAAAATAATATGAACTTAAAATTTTCAGGAAAAATCAATCTCTATAAGGGTACGAAGCCTATTGATTTCAAAAGAAAATCTGAATAAAAAGGAGGGTTAAGGGGAGTTAAATTTAAAAAATATATATAAATTAAAAACGAAAAACAATATCCACTTAAAATTTTCAGGAAAATCAAGCTCTACAATTGATTTAAAAAAAAATCTGAATGATAATGGGGGATTAAGTGGGGTTAAAATTTAAAAAATAAATCAAATCAAAAACAGAAAACAATATCAACTTGAAATTTTTAGGAAAAATAAAGCTCTGCAATGGGATGAAGCCTATTGATTAAAAAAAATTGATTAAAAATGAGAGGGTTAAAAGGGATTTTTTTTTAACTGTGAAGACTATCATATAGAATGCCATGCATTATATATTTTCATTCTAGTTTTTACTACTTGTTTTCTTTCATTTAAATAGTTTTTAAAGACCCTTATTCCAAAATGTTCAAGAACATTTCAAAGTTATTTGTGGGAAACAGGGTCAAACGCCTTTGCAAAGTCGATAAAGACACCTATATTATTGTTGTTACAGATTCTCGAAGCTACTTTTTATGTTTAATATTAGTTCATGCATGGCATCACTTGTACTTTTCCTCTTTTGGAAACCAAATTGTTTATTCTCAGAAAGTTTGCTTTTTTTAAATAATCATATAGCCTACTATTTAAGCATTTCTAAAATATTTTAGCAAAATTTGTGATTGGACTAACTGGTCTATACTTCGAAAAATAGTATGTTTCTTAGATTCCTGCTTAAAAGTAGGGGTTTTGTATATTTAAAAACACTGAGTATTTTGCCAGCCTCAAAAATTAAATTTATTATGTGTTTAAGAGGTTCAACAATGTAGGAATGACAGATCTTTATTAACTTAGAGGTTATTCCATCAATCCCAGGGGCGCTGCTGTTTTTTTTTTAGAGTTTATCTGATCACTTAATACAGATTTGTTAACTGGAATTAATGCCATCGAGTCTGCGAATACTGGGTAATTTATATTATTTTATTTCCTTGTGAAAAATATGCATTGCAATAGTTAGCTATTTCTTTATCATTGATATCAAAGACATTTATGTTTTTATTGGATTTTTTTTGTTTGATCGTTTGTATATATAAAATCGTTTATTTAGTCATTTTTTACATGTCAATACATCTTCACATTTAAAATATAAAAAATGCATAAGTATAGAATCAACATACATTTAAAAGACAATTAAAAATACATAAGATACAGTACACTTACATGTTAACTATACAAAACATAATAAAAGAACAAGAAAAAAAAACGTCAATTGATCAGCAAGTACTCAGGCAGTTTTCTTTTAAATATTGCTGGGTTTGAAGAACATTTAATATCTTCAGGCAAATTATTAAAAGCCTGTACACCTTTAAAAAACACTGAATTTTGTGTACATTTTTTCATGGCCTTATAAACTCTAAAATTTTTCTTATTTCGTGTATTGTGTTCATGAATATCCTGATTATAAATTAAAATATTTTGTAAATATACTGGGGAGATTCCTGATTTAATCTTAAATATAAATAGCAGGGAATAGAATAGCAAATATTTTCTAACAGGCAACCACTGAAGCACATTCAAGATGGAATTGATTGGTTCCAATCTTGAACAGTTCAGTATTATCCTCATACCTTTATTCTGCAACTTTTGCAATTGTTGCAACTCATTCTGGTTGAGAAAATACAATATAGTGGCACAATAATTAAAATGAGATAATATTAGAGTATTATAAATTATTATTTTAGCCCATTTGGTGAGATGTGGAGAACAGCAACTCAAATAGTTTATTTTAAATGATATGCTTTTGATGACGTTAATAGCATGTTTCTTAAATTGTAAATTTGTATCAACCATAACCCCTAGATATTTAAATTTTTCAACTCTATGATTCCATCAACAGAAACACACTGCGATTCTACATTTAATTTCTTTAACTTTCCAGTACCCCCAATTAACATCCACTTTGTCTTTTCGTAATTTATTTTCAACCAGTTTCCGTTACAATAATCATATTTTACTTGTAGAACTATTAATTTTTTTAAAACAAGTTTCAGTGTATCATCTGCAAATAAATGTATTGAGCATCCTTCGACTACACAATCAAATTTACTGTTTTCGATTTGATTTGTGTAATATTGATTTTTAGCATTTATAATTATTTTAATTAAACGGTTACAGTATAGTATACCGGGTGTTCAAATTAAAGTGTTACAGCTAAATACCGCCTTTTATAAAAAAACGTGCCAGACGAAAGTTTTATAGTTTTGTGGGGAAAAAATTTTGGCTAAGATCGTTTTTTATAGCTAGCTATAATATGGCCAACTTTTTTTTCGCCCAGCAAAATTTTCAAGTAGCTGTTACTCAAAAAGTAAAAGTCCAATAAAAAATATTTCCCTTAAAAGTTTTTTATTTTTTATGTACTTTAAGAATATGTAAAAAATGGAGTTCCAATTTAAAAAAAAAGTCCACCTCGATATAGCCATATTATGGTCAGCTATAAAAAAAATAAATTTAGCCAAAATGTTTCCCCCAAAAAACTATAAAACGTTTGTCTGATACTTTTTTTTCTAAAATGCATATTTTCGGCGGTATTTAACTGTAACACTTTAATTTGAACACCCGGTATATTCAGTTTGCAATATAGTTTTATTTTTAAGAGTTAGTTGTTTCTTCGTCTTATCTCTGTGTTTTATAGAAGTTATAATTAAAGTTGATATCCACGGTTTTATCTTTTTATATTTATTGATATAACTTTTCTAATTTTGACATATTAAGTGACATTTTTTGTAATCTCAGCAAGTATCAAATAATCCATTTTACGCAACCAGTTGCATAATGTTGCACATTATGAAACTGGTTTCGAAAATTCATTATCTCACTAGTTGCGAAAAGAAAACAAATAAAAATAAACCTTTTGTGGTTTTAAAATAAATAATATACATTATTATTGAAAGTTTATTTAAAAGAAGGGCAGGTTGACTTATAAAAATAGAATTTGGTTAAACTTACAACTTAGTAATAATGTTGTTTTGGTTTTTATTTTCCATTTTAAATTAGCACAAAATAATTAAAACGCAATCTACAACAAAATAACCCACTTTTTGAAAACTAAATAACTTTAATAAGCCATATATAAACACACTCCAAGTTGTTGAGAATAATTTATCAATTATATCAATAAAATGATGCATATGCAACTAAAAATACAAGAAAGTGGTAATATTGGTTGCCTAGATGTCAGTAATGTTTTACCAAAACATAATTTTGCAA